AAACGCAGCGTGCAGGCACCCCGGCTTGCTGAAGCCTCTCTGGGGCCAGCAACGCGGTGGTGGTGGTGGCTAAAGTTCCGCTGTTCCCTCTTACTGTGAGTCTCTTTTCCTAAAGTACACGTATTTGGGGGGGCTCTCTTGAAACCAACGTTTTCCTCTTTGCTCTCTGGCAGAGATGCTGCTGGTGCTGCTCTGTGCGCGCGCTGTCAAGCGACCGTCCGCAGCGAGGGCGCAAATACGCGGCTGGCTTTATTTCAAGGCAACCGCCTCAACTTTGTCGACGGTACGGTGTTGCATTTTGTTCGTCTCGCCCCCCAAAAGCAAACCTTGGGGCCTTTTTCGGAGCCCAGGGTCGTGCAGCTGTGCCAGGCAGGGTCCTTCCAGCGAGCAGCCACGCTCCCCTGGCATCGCCGCGCCGCAAGGCTCGGTGGATCAGGCTCCAGCACCTTCACCCCACCTTCTGGAAGACTATTCCATGTTACTCTGGCAGCTCTTGCTATCAAAAAAAAAAAAAAAAGTTGATGCCTGCTCCAGATGTTGCTGTTACAAACATACTCATAGAGTCACAGAATCGTTGAGGTTGGAAAAGACCTTTAAGATCATCCAGTCCAACCATTGATCTAACACTGCCAAGGCCATCACTAAACCAATTAAGGGGAGAGTAGCAATTTTGTGTTTCCTAGCTTGGTGGCTGGATTATTTTTTAATGAAAGTAAAACTAGGAATCACTAAGGTTGGAAAGGATCTCTAAGATCATCAGTCCAACCATCAACCCAACACCTCCATGCCCACTAAACCATGTCCCACACGTCTCGCACACATGTCTGGCCCCAAAGAGAGCCAAACCGTCCGGTCTCGATGAGATTGCAGAGCTCCATCCTTTTTCTTCAGGACTCAACCTTGGAACCAGTAGAAACTCATGCTGCCTTTCCTCTTGGAGCTGCTGTGCGGCCTGGGGTCGAGTTCCCTCGGACGGTGCGGTGGGCTGGTGGCTGTAAGCTCAGCTGTCCCTCTTCAAAGCGGGCCGGGCAGATTGTGCTTGCTGTGTACGTGTCAACACTGCCTCTGCTCCCAGGTTTTCCAGCCTTTTCCTTCCTGCCACCTGCACTGGACCAAGCGTGGACGACTCCGGTAGGGCCTGGAGTGCAGAAGATCTTGCGTCCGAATCGTGTACAGCCTCTGGGCAACAGCTTTTGGCCAGATGAGGGATATTCCCCATACGTAAGATGGGGAAGGGATAATTTTGGGTGGTTAAGATCGTATGGTGCAAGTCACGGCTTGGTGCAGAATTACGTAGGCAAGGTCCCACCTCCGTGTCCCTCGTCCTGCCCCGGGCAGGTCCAGGTAGAGAGCCATCTTCAAGGATGGCGTTTCCTATCCGAGAGCCCTGTTCCATTGTGCGATCGCCCTCATGACTTTATTAATAAAAATCCACGTATCGGAGCTTCCAGAGTTGCAACTTGAGCCCTTGCCTCTTGTCCTGTCACCGCCCATCTCCGCGAAGAGCCTGGCTCTTCCCCGTACCCTCCCGGTAAGCGCTTACCGGCAGCGGCCAGAGCCCCTGAGCTGACCCAACTTTGTGCCTCTTGGACACGCTCCGGGATCTCCATGCCGGCTTTCCTTGTACCAGGGAGCCCCAAAGCGGGCACAGGGTCCAGCTGTGGTCCCAAAAGTGCTGGAGAGAGAGGAATACCATAACCAGTGACCACTGGGCCTTCCTAACACTCATCACAACCTTTTGAATCCAATAGTTCCTTCAATTTTCCACCTTATCGTCCATCTTCTCCATGCGTTTCTCAAGAAGACGGCGTTGATGTTCGGCGCATCAAGAACCAAGCGGTGCGCGCTCAGTCGGGCTGGAAGGGGTCGAGACCTGCGCTTGGAGGGATGCGACCGAGCCCACCTGAAGTGTTTGATCGAACCGCGGCTGCGGCGGAGGGGCTCTGCTCCCCCGGCAGAGCCAAAGCGGCTTGCGTGAAGAGCTTGGTACGGTTGGACCCAAAGATGCCAACGGTGGTGGATCAGGCTCGTCGGGGAGCAGAGAGGGGATGGTGCATCGCCGAGATCCTGTGGGTTTGACTTTGTGTCATCGATGATCGCGTCTGCGGTTAACCTTGAAAGTGGAGGCACGGAGCTACTGCGCTCGGTTTAATGACTGAATTGAGGAGGGATTCTGGTCTTGCTCGACGTAGAGCTCTGGTCTTGCTCGACGTAGAGCTCCCGACGTAGAGCTCTGGTCTTATTTGATGTAGAACTCCTCGCCTCGGGGTGGTGGGTGAACAGAAAAATACACCCGTTTCTGGGGTGTTTTGATTTTTCATCTGCTCCCAGGGTAGGCAGGAACAACGTGCGCCACTTCCATAGCCGGACGGATGTTTCTGGCCTGGGTCCTGCTGCATAAAAGGTTTGAGGGCTGCTGGTGGCCTTCAGCACCCGTCAGCACGTCCGTCACACCTTCTCGCTTGTTCTTTTGCTTTTCCTTCTTTGCGACCAGCCCTCTCCTTTCCCGCCGGGTTGTGGAATGCGGTGTTAAAGCATCGAGACGGGCTCAGCAGCGCAGGGCTGTGTCCCTCGCCTTCAGCGCGGCAGTGGCAG